CAACTTTTTCTGTAGCTATGCTACCAGGTTGGAGGAGCGCTGATTTATAGCATCCGAGATGCCAGCCCACTGGTGCGTCGCGAGCTTGTCCTCGCTTTTCGCGGACTCTTTTGTCAATTTCCAGATCAGTTCGCTGCAATGTCTTGCCAGTACCTGCGCGAAGCTACAGCTACTGCTGCAGCCAACGCACTAGTTGGAGCACCCTATATCACAGCCAGTGGACAGACTTCTGTAATCCCAAGTCAGTCTTTTTAGAAGTTACGTAACCTTCATATTTGTTGACACCAGTGCCTCTATCACCTTCACCCTCACGTTTGTCCCATTTTAGGATCTTTACTATTATCATTGGCTTGCTTTAATGGGATCACTATATCATCCATTTTCTCCTGACATAATTGAATTAATAGCCCTTGTCTTTACTTTAGCAAAACATGTCTTAAGTATAGATTACAGTTTCTATATCTCAAACACTTTTATAGCCTTCTACCATGAACCCCATTATTTTATATGGAGGGCTACAATGTCCATTATTTTGTTTTTCGCATTATTCTCTAATTTGACGTAAGTTGACCTTTTTTCTCGCTCTAGGTTCGCTTACTAAGCGATATCAGGGGATAACATCCGTTATTATGCATATATTGTTTGATTTTTATAGCTTCTCTAGATTCTATGCTTATCAAGCTGGTTATTTGGTAATTCATTCCGTTAGTAGTAACCCTCACTTTGCTCTACTCGCTCTCTATTTAAGATTCTAGGCATTTATTATCTCCTATTGACTGACTGATTTTATTCAGGCCCAGTAACTGGTTAGTCTAAGGAAAACTTTTGCTCAAACATTGTGCATTCGGAACATTTAACAATCGTTACTCTACTCAGGGCACGATAGTCAGATAGACCACCATATTCGATTTCTGGTGCTACCTTCATGTCGGCATTTGAAGAAGATATGCGAGCTATTTAAAAAGTGGAAATTTTTAGTAATTTATAAACAAAGGCTTACAGATTACCCAGTTATTTATAATTTTTAGAAATACCTGAACCCTTAGGTCAGATTGTTATAAGGCCTTTGTTAATGTTGTATTTTATTTACGGAAGAGGCCTACAGATCTTTATAATGTATATATATATATATCTGAACCCAAATTCTTATCAGTTTTAAATTCAAGAGTAACTGACCCCACGATTACTTTTGGTAACATGCAGAGTGCTCTAAAGCCTAACGTTCTGCTGGGTATAAAGATTTCTGCCAAGAGAAAGAATACTGAATCGATTACTATCCTGTATTATGGATATGCTTAAGAAGAAAAAACAGCACAAATTAAGGAAAGGGCTCGATTATCCTGGAATATTTTCATCTTAATTGACTCGTACCATTACACGCATACAAAATGCATAGCCATAACATAACACATGAATTTTGCACGGCTACACCACATCCTATTTAGAAAAGGAAACGGATGTCCAGCTAAATCTGCATAAACTCGACTTAGCAAGCGCGCAAAGGGATACACAAAGTATCCAACCATATCATGATATGGCAAAATTTGAGTATAAGACGTAAATGGGTTTGCAGTTAGCCACCATTGTTGGCTCGATGTCTGATGAATTCCGTCAATTATTTTGCTCTGATAATGTATGTCAGCTGAAAGAATAAAATTCAGCCTTGATTTATCTTGCCAAAGGATTTGTGCGCCTGGCATTTGTTCGTCTGAATAAGCGATCACTTTACAAAAAAATTCCTTTAGTTTTCTTTGAAATCACTTTATAGATATTCTCTTGTTTATTTGTCAACTTGGCAGGCTCACTTAGTTTGTAATGCTTCTTCGGAATCTGGTACTCTATTGGATATCATAGCTTTTTAGTAAATCAATATTCGTAAATTTTTTATTAACATTTTTTATATTTTCATATTAATACGTAGCACAATATACGACTATCTTTTCTTACTAATATTTGTGATTGATTTTTATCACATCTTTCTTGCCTGTAGATTTTTTTTTATTGACATGCTTAATTATTTTGAATTCCCTAACTTAATTGTTTCTAAAATACTATCATGATCATTTAGCTCAATCATTTTATTCAACTTTTTTTACTTTGAGGCGAACCGACAAACTTCTCCTTGGGAGGAAATGAAGCACGGGTCTCGAGAAAGTCGTCAGCACTAGGGCCACTTTTCTTTACTGGTAAGTTTGTTCAAAGGCGTCTGATATGTCGTACTTTTATTTGTTTTCGCTTCTTTTTACTGCAAACTTACGATTTCTTTTCGTTTTAAGCGCTAACATTAATGGTTCATTAAACTCCAACTTATTCATAATATCTGAGATGCATTCATCCCATATATTTTTAGGTAATAAGGGGACTGGTAGTTAAATCTTCTTGCAATGATATAAGTAGACCTTATGTTACAATTGGATTTCACATAGCCTTGCATTCCCAAAACGAATTCTCATTCAGGATGGACTGCAGTTTCGAACTCGTCTAGGTCTCATAAGAACCCCTAACGGGACTAACCATGACAATGCAGCGTGTAATCACGACATCTCATATATATGATCTACCGGCTTATAAAGCAAAAACATTGTTCGTAGATATGAAGACTAAGATGGTGTGTATGCTTGGTCGCAGTCTCTTTTAGCTTTATAGCGTTGGTTCGACCTTGTTTTCGCAATTTGGTCAGAGCGCCAGGGAGACCTTGTGGAACGTTCCTATTCCAGTGTTCTCTATCATAGTATTCGTGATTTCCAGCATTGTACCATTGGCTGGGTACATTCCCAAACGTTGTCGGCATCTTCAGTGAGAGGCGCCATCGTAAGCATAGAGTTGCAACTTATCAAAGTGACAAGTGAAGGCTATCTCCTCGACCAATTTTCTGTTCAACCGTTGTGGCATCTCTCCTCGCATCACTCCTGTTCCACATTCTAGTGCCTCATCTCTTTCTATCAAACCCACTTCATGTGGCCCACTGGTGTGACAATGCACCGCTTCCCTTTTTTCCTTTGAATCACGAAAAGCACATTCATCTCGCCTCCCAAGTTAGCATTTCCATCTAATCCTAGGGTATTTGGATGATGTTCTTGTGTGTTTGTTGGCTGGTATTCCCTATGGCCAAGCCCTTCAATAGTCACCTCTTCAGACACCGATACTAAAAATACACACAACGGCTGCGCACATACTGGTGACCTATATCTGGTCCTCCTATACTTTTAGTATTTATTTCATATTCTACATCACACAGGTGAACCCCCTGAGTTAATATTTAGGCCAATTTCACGTCGGACATCTCTCACTGCAGTCCCATTTTCTTGACTTTCCCTTGTTCCTCATGAGCCGCTCTTTGGTGATGTCACTTTTGTTGTTGAACCGTTGTCCTGGGTCCAAGTGTCTTCTTTTTGGTGTCCTTTTTCAATCTCAAAGTCTGCTCAGGCAGTATACAAAATTATCGCTGACTCTTTCCTATTCCAATCTCCTGTTCATTAGGGAATGTCCACAGCCTCTAATCTTCAGTTTTCTGGTCTTTCCTTTTAATTCCAGTAATAGCGATATATTCAGCTATCGCCGATCTTTCCGTATCCATTTTCTGCATAATCGCTTGTGTTCTTTGATCCTTGTGCTTATTGTCTTTCTCGTCTCTTCTATGCATTTTTGTTTACAGACCTTTCAGTTTATGCCATAAACTCCAGAGCACTCCATTTTGTTGGCTTTATCATGTTGTGTGCCCACACAACAGGGAGGGTGTAGCTTCCGAGCAAATTCGCAGGAGATTAGGCATATCCATCGTTTTTCTTCTGCTCCTCTTGCTTTCCTTTCACAATCGCTTTGAGGAAACTCTCAAGAGAAGATTTTTTTGAAAGAAATCGTATGCTGAAATAACTCTTAACTTATAGTCGAACCACACCTATGGGATACAGATAGGAATGCTCAAGGGTATGGTCATAAGAAGCCTACGACTCAATGATTCTGAGTTCTGGAAAGAGAAACTTGGAAAACTAACTTAGATGTTTCCTGGAAATGGATACCCAGAAGAAGTGATACAATGCAATATACTGATGCTAATGGAAAGGCGGAGATTATGAAAGGAAAGCAAGAGGGGCGGAAGAATAATTCCAGTGGTGGTTAACGTCTTCATATTCCATAAATGAGTCTTGATTTCATTTTTTTATTCTCAACCTATTTATGAAGATTTACTTTTTATTTTCTAGCAATTCATTTTATATTCGAAATCAAGGTTTGATCTGTGGCTTTAAATATATATTTTTAGTCCAATCACTTTTTATTTCGGAACTCTTTTTACTTTGCGTGATACCGATCTGACCAGCTGCCACCTACGCGCTGCAATACAACCCCCTATCTCTTATTTCTACTTATAATAGATACTTTGATGACTTAATTTAAGCAGTTAGTTTTGAACCGAGACGGCTTTTTCAAGTGCCATTTATAGCCTTAGCCCTATATTTTTATTCTCGATTTCTTGCCTAGTTTGGCATTTTTTAATAGTGGATGGTTAAAGTGACGAAGGACCCTCTTCAAAATATTTTGTTATTCAGATTTATAAAAATTCGTGCGAAGATGTATTCACTTACTTCATTTCGACTTCAGATACGATATGAACCAGCATAGCCTTTTTGTCGGTATGTCTTTGCCTGTAAAAAGTTTTGCATCAAAAAATCTTTACTTTCCAATGTTACAAGAAGTTTGTTGGAACTAATTACAGGAAATTTATGCAAATTTTTCATCCCTATTTTGCTTTCTTCTTGGTTTATCGATAATTGCGAATTTTTGGTATGCCACTAGCTAGTCATC